TGTTTTGAGGACACATATATCTTGCAACATCTTAGAATGAGGTTGCTATGATCAGTGAAAGTGAATTCTTTTGTTCTTGCTAATACAGAAAAGTTCTTTTCAACATTCTTATTCATAGAAGAAACAGCATTATTATTATAAATTGCATAGTGTGAAATGTTTCTGGAATATTTCATGGAAATTTCATCCTCTGTTGCTTTTGCTTTATTTTTAAAGATTAATTATTTCACAACACAGAAAAATCAGTTACCGGTATCCTCTTGTGCTTATTTTTGTTGATATCCTAAGTTCATCAGAGTTGTATGTGTTGTCAGTGCTCTGATTGATTTTTGATATTAAGCTAATCGTATCAGCTCATTTATTTATTCCAGAATTCCGTGCACATCATTCAAAGCTCCGTTTTCTTGCGAGACAAGAATACTGGCCGGTCAGGGGACAGGTACAAGTTCTCCGAGAATAACCTGGTCATCACCAGCATTGATGTCCAGTCTATGGAGCCCGTGGACCAGAGTATTTGCGACGCTCTCCACAAGTCTGTGCAACAGGCCATTGAGATCAGCACTTCCTCACAGGAGGCGGCAGCTAGGTAGTGTGTTACATACAGTGTGAGGGAAAACTCCCAGGGGAAACAAACATGTGAAGCATCGTGGGGAAATCAGGCGCTTGTCAAAATAACGAAATCAGAGAAACAGGAATTTTTCCCGCCATTTAGGCAATTTTTATAGAATTTTTTTTTTTTGACTCAACCCCTTGTACGTCCATATAAAAACATAGTTCCATGTGAATTTTACTGGAAAACGTTGATTATAGGCACACAATATGTCATTTTTCAGTTTTCAAGGACTCTATACCTATCTCACTAATTTCACCACTGAAACCAGGCGACCTCACCTTCTTCAATCACTGATATCTTGACTTCTATTTAAGATAGATGGATATTTTTTTTTCATTGAAAGCATAACAAATGAATAACCTTACAGATGATACTAATTACTCCACATACCCAAAAATTGACAAGGGCCCGATTTCTTGGCGTCGTGACACATATTACAAATACATCATCATCAAGTGCCTGATCTGCGGCAGACATTGGGGATCATTGTTCTCCATTCATTACTTTGCTTAGATGCTCTGAAAAAAGCTTCTTACCCTGCTCCCATTGTTGAAGTCAGAAATAGTAACTTCTACACACACATTACAGAAATTGTTTTTTCACTGCGTTCCCCCTACCCCCACCCACCCCCCGTTTTCTCTCAGAATGTTAATTTATGCTTGTAATTTTTTTTCCATACAGATGTAGATGTATTTTCCTTGGATTTAAAAGTTTGTTGTAAATGTAATATCAGACCAGTTTCTGATAGATTTATCCTTTTATGTAACCATTGACTAAATTGTTCAGTCTGTTTGAGAGGGTGGGTGGCAAGTGCTCTGGTGTGGTTTGCTCTTTCTTCTCTATTAAGCTTCTATCATCCTTAGCTCTGCTCCTTCTTTTCTTTGTATGCTACTCTCTAGTAACACCTCTTATCTTTGGCAATTATATGATCTGTTTGTGTTGCAAGTACTGTAAAAGTCTTAAAACTTAAGTTTAAATTAGTCTGTTAATGTCTAACGGATAATTATTCACCACAGATATGAAGCTGACTGCCTTGAACAGAAGGAAACAGCTTACGTGCAGAAGTTGATGATTAAAGACAAGGTGAAGACTGAAAAGGCTCGCCATAAGCTGAAGACACTGCAAGTCGCCAACACGGCTTTGAAGATGGTTGGTCGGGCTGTTGCCGAGGCTCAGAGCCTGGCTGAGTGGGATCGCATAGAAGGAGCAGCTGCCGTGGAGCAGGCTAAGATGAGAGCAGAGGCACTCAAAATAGAAGCAGTAAGCGCTTTTTGGATTTTGACGTCACTTTATTCTTTACACTGTTGTCAAGGATGACCGTTCATGGTCATGCTGAAAAGTTACAATGTTATTGTCTTAGCAGACAGGTGGACTTCATGGGCAGTGTCATTATAGTATTTTTTTAATGCGGGGGGGGGTGGTAGTTTAAAAAAAAGTTTTAGTAAGATTTTTACAGCACTTGCAACACAATAAGGTTATATAAGTGCCGAAAAATAGATGTGTTACAGGAGAGTAACATACACAAAAAAGAAGGAGAAGAGATATGTCTGTTTGTTTAGTATAGTGTTTTACGGCGCTCGCAACTGCATAAGGTCATATGAGCGCGCGGGACACATCTAATACTTTTTCGTTGGTAGGAAATTTTGAATTTTGCCCGGGTGGCGGCCGAAGCCTACTCTTATCGATTTTAGACCACCAAGGGATCTTTAACTTGCGCAACTTGCACACGGGCCCTCCGAGATTTTTCGCCCTTGTCCGAGAAGGCTAGGTGTAGATCTTTCCTACCAGAAGATCAGGGGTGTGGTAGAAAGACAGCTGTAAGAAGGAGTCAAAGAGTAGCAGTAGAAAGGCTGCAGAAAGAGTCAGGAGCCCAGAGGAGGGGGCAAGGGAGGTGAGGGGGTGGGGGCAGAAAGAGGAGACGAAAGCAGACGACAGAATATTGCTAGAGAGCAGGAAAGGAGGTGAAAGGAGACAATTTTAGAGAAGAACATTTTTCGGTCGCTACCCGGATTCGAACCCGGGACCTTTGAATGAGAGGCCAACACCTTAACCTGTAGGCCACGAGAGCCCCCGAGAAGAGATAAGGATGATAGATGTTTGATAGGAAAGAAGGAGCAAACCACACAAGAGCATCCTCCAACCACCCACAATTGGTAGGCCTAGATTGTACAAGTGATTGTCATGGACAGGTGGATGTCAGAGCAGGTTCGACTGTACTTAACTTGCACTTCAGACTCCGTCTCTTTTATTTCCTCCAAGGATTCTGAGCTGGAGCAACTGACGAATGCAAGGAGAGCTCAGCTCAACTATCTCGCTGCTCGGAACCAACTAGCGGTGGACAAGGCGCGAAAGAAGGCTGAGCTGGAAGTGAAACGTTTCAAAAAGAAGATGTCGTCCGTGGGTCCAGAGAACGTCCTCTCAATAGTCACTGCAGAGTCCAAGCACCAGGTCTGGTATTTATGCTGTTGTAGTTGCCAGAGTTTGCTCTGTGTTGGGTCCCACTGTGGACTTTGTTAAAGACAAGTTGCGGGTGGTTGGAGGGCACCACTGGTAGGTCCTATTTCTTTACTTTCCCTCTGTTATTTCTGTCTGTCCGTCTTACTTTTTCCCAGCACTAAATGACCAATGAGCCTTATTATGTCAATGTGCTTCTCTTTACTCACCCTCAAAAAGAAATGGATTATGTGATCTAATATAGCCTAACACTAAACTTTGATATCAAGAAGGGACCGCTAAATATTTTCCTGTAGGCCTCTGTTGGCCCGGGGACTACAAGTTTCAGAGACTCCTGCTAAAGATTGTCACCTTTACGTTTACTACTTGGGTCACAGAACTTGATTTTAAGAATACACCCCCCCCTCCCCCCAAATTATCAGATCCCCCAGAAAACAACATTTCTCTGGCTATACAGCAGATGGTCTGTCCAGTGTGAGCATCAGATTCACTTGTCACTGTGGCTGTGTTACTTAGGTTGTACCTTTTTGGGGAATACTGTTATTATTATTATTATTATTATTATTATTATTATTATTATTATTATTATTATTATTATTATATTTATTATTATTTTTTTAATTATTATTTTTATTGTTATTATTATTATTTCTTTTTATTAATATAATTATTTTCATCTTTATCATTATTATTTTATTATTGTTTTTGTTGCTATTTGCATTATTGTTGCTGTTGTTGTTATTATTATTGGTATTATTATCATTATTACTTTGCTCAAACAAAAATCATTCTGCCTTGCTGTGTTGCCCAGTTTTTCTTCATAAACTTTCATACAGGCTTTTACATATCCATGCAAGTACACATGTAAACTACACATTTCACGTAGAGTGTTGTTATGGAGATTGTTATTGACATTCACTTCTCTTTAACAGGTCCGGTTGTTGAAGTGTCTGGGGCTTGAGTCCACTGTCATCTCTGGTCAGTCTTGCCCAGTGTCCGTGGTCAACACACCAGATGGTCTCGTTGTTGGACGCTCTGCCTCTCAAGTTGATGAAGGTTTTGGAAATGAAGATATTGAAGACGATGTCTACAGTAATGTTTATAATTGACAAGGCTACGTAATCAGAGATGTATTTATTTTTTTTTTTTAAATGTGGGCGCTGCACAGTGTGGACCAGCAATGGAATTTTGGTGAAATTGTTTTGTATTGGTATAATATTGTGTATTTATGTATGTATTTATGTGCATATTTATATATGGATGTATTTATAATCATGTATTTATGATGTATATTTGCCATTGTAACCGAAATTTCCCTTCAAGATTAATAAAATGTCATTTATTATTATTTTTATTATTTATTATGTAAAAAAATGGACCTGATAACAATACTGTGCTGCAAGACAACCCCAAAAAAAAAGGCAAAGAGAAATAAAAGAAGACCTCCTACATCATACATTGAAATCGAGAAATCAGACAGGGGTCTACAGCTTATGTTTGTTTTAATAGTAGAGGTTTTACGGCACTCGCAACTGCATAAGGTCATATGAGCGCCAGAAGATTAGAGGTGTTACAAGAGAGTAACAAACATAAAAAAGAAAAAGGGGAGATAAGGACGATAGATGTTTGATAGGAAAGAAGCAGCAGACCACACCAGAGCACCCGCCAACCACCCACGTCTACAGCTAAATGAAAGCATCAGAGGAGAGACCAGGGAAGATCATGAAGGCCTGTTGTGACAAAGAGTTGAAGACGGCCTCCGTGGCAGGGGCTTTGTGATTGAAATATAATGGAAATGATAGTACATGTATACATGTATTTGAGGGGCTGAGATGCAAAACCCGTTACATGCATTTTAGCGCTTTTGAGTAAAATCAGCTTTTTTGTAATGCTGCTATATGCTCGAACCTGTGTAAACAGACGATTTTATAGTGGCTTTTATGAAGTGTGTGTTGGTTTTGGCCGAAAACACTGTGTGCATCTGATAGTGGGTTTTGCATCTCACCCTCTCACTATGTATGGATGACACAGAGGACAAAGAAAACCACCATTACCATGGGTCCAGAGATATATGATATCTCTATGTTTGAATCACAGGGAACTTGATTCAGAACATCCCAGAAACTGATAGATCAGAACCCCAGAAGAGAACATTGCTCAGACCACACAGAGAGCAAAGAAAACAATCATTCTTACTGTGGTACCGTATGGATTTGACGATCTGTCATTGTAATTTTGACATTTCGCTACCACAAAATTACAAAGTTCTATCTGCTTTGTACATAGTTTTGAGAAATTTAACGTCACTGTATAACTGCTCAACCACTTGACTCACTATCTAACAGCTCAACCACTTGAGCTCACTATATAACTACTCAACCACTTGACTCACTAACTGTTCAACCACTTGAACTCACTATATAACTGTTCAACCACTTGACTCACTATTTAACTGTTCGACCACTTGACTCACTATATAACTGTTCAACCACTTGACTCACTATTTAACTGTTCGACCACTTGACTCACTATTTAACTGTTCGACCACTTGACTCACTATATAACTGTTCGACCACTTGAACTCACTATATAACTGTTCAACCACTTGAACTCACTATATATATAACTGTTCAATCACTTGAACTCACTATATATATAACTGTTCAATCACTTGAACTCACTATATAACTGTTCAACCACTTGAACTCACTATATAACTGTTCAACCACTTGAACTCACTATATATATAACTGTTCAACCACTTGACTCACTATAACACTGTTCAATCACTTGAACTCACTATATAACTGTTCAACCACTTGAACTCACTATATAACTGTTCAACCACTTGAACTCACTATATATATAACTGTTCAATCACTTGAACTCACTATATATATAACTGTTCAATCACTTGAACTCACTATATAACTGTTCAACCACTTGAACTCACTATATATATAACTGTTCAATCACTTGAACTCACTATATAACTGTTCAATCACTTGAACTCACTATATAACTGTTCAACCACTTGACTCACTATATAACTACTCAACAACTTAAATCACAACTACAGCTCAAACTACTGTAAATTGCTAATTTAACTTTGATGAATTAATGTTCTGTTCATATATATATAGAATTATAGATCTATCAATTTTGTCTTTGCTCAAGTTAAGGCTTCTTTTCTTTCAATTATGAGATGCCTTAGCAGTAATGTACCTGACTTCGAGTTGGGGAAGTAAAGGCGGCGTGGAAAGGAACTGGCCACCCTACCACAATATTCCAATGTCCGGATCAGATGCGGGAACAACTTTACTTTTTTTTCTTCTACTTCTTAGCTTTTCCAACAGTTGGGCATATCTTTTCACACCTTCTTCTTAGCCTTTTCAATAGTTGGACATTCCTTCTCACACCTTCTTCTTAGCTTTTTCTAAAGTTGGACATTCCTTCTTGGACCTTCTTCTTAGCTTTTTCAAAAGTTGGACATTCCTTCTTGGACCTTCGTGCAATAACACACTCTGTCTCACACCATTCTGCCAGTCTTATAGCTGTTTTCATTCCAAGCCAGGTGCATACGTCTTGTGTTCATCTTGTGTAAGCATTCTACTAGATATCCCCCTTCCTTTTTTTTCTCTTTTTTTCTTTCTCCCCTTTGAACCCAGAATACATTTCCCTAGTGAATCGTGGAGTCTGATATGCGTAAAGTAATGTGTTCGATTTTGTGATAATTTTTGTCGTGTTTGTTTGGTAAGTGGTTTACAGCGCTTGCAACCGCATAAGATTATATGAGCGCGGGACGGAACACAGTAAACATTTTTAGATTGGTAGAAATTAATTTGGAATTTTGCCCGAGTGGCGGCCGAAGACTACTCTTATCAATTTTAGGACCACCGAGGAATCGCAACTTGCACATGGGACCTCCGAGATTTTGTGGCCCTTATCCGAGAAAGCAAGGTTACTAACCCTAAGATCAGGGGTGTGTCTGAAAGACAGCAGTAAGAAATGAGCCAATTTAGTTGTAGCACTAGAAAGGCAGCAGAAACAGTCAAGATTCCGGAGGATGGGGAAAACGGAGGGGGGGGGCTGAAAGTGGAGGTGAAAGGATAAGGATTTTAGAGAAAAAAAGTTTCCGTCGCTGTCAGGTTTCGAACTCAGGACCTATTGAATGAGAGGCGAACACCGTAGACCTACCTCTAGACCAGGAGAGCCCCCCTGAAATTTTCTGTGGCTTCCTACGGGAACGGTAAAATCAATCATGCACATAGAAATCAGATTTAAAAATAAAATAAAAGTTGTTTTGTTTTTTTTCAATAAGAATTTCGTTATGAAGAGAAAAATTAAAACTGGCAAGAG